TTTTTTTTTTTTTTTTTTAGCTATGTGACATTAAATACTGGAGTTCCGTATTGCCACAGACCACAAAAAGCAGGTCTTTCTACAAGAAAGATGCAGCATTTTATTCGTAACTATGATAAACTACAAAATTCAACGTTACCATTTGGTCCATAAGCAGTACGGGTGGTTAGGGCAAGCTCCTTACATGCCTGGATGTTCCTAAACACAGCTTCTTCTAATCCAGAATAATGCTACAAAGAGAAGTTTATAACTTAACATTATAAATTCTAACATAAAATAATTGAAAGAATCACAGTGAAATCAACCAATTCTCAGTTTTGTTACTGACTTCAATGAGGCCAGGATTTCATTCCCAACATTTAAACAAGTGACTGTCCTTTAAAAAAAAAATGGGGACAAAAAGTAACATATAAAGTCGTCCAATTGCCCCCACTAGCAGTAGGAGCAAGTTGCTGAACAGGGAAAGAGGCAAGCTGGGTCCCCTTTTGATGCAGATCTAATGCCTCAAGTCTATCCCAGTAGATCTCTTCTGGTACAGTTACTGACTCATAATATGAAGCTTGAAATATGACGGGCACCAATTTACTTGAAGAAAAACCTTCCTTCACTTGCATGAGAATATGTCACTCTCCTTCAGGAGTCATCCCTTCTTACCTCACCCCAAACTAGTTGCATCTCGTTCCTATGTCAAGATGCTCACTATACCCTAACAAAACCGAGTCTAAACCCTATACCACACAAACATAACTGAGCTCCCTACTCAGATAAATAATGCATCTCCACACAAACGCAGCTCTGCAGAGAGTCAGGTGCCCTCTACGTCCAAAACGGAGGAGACTTCAGCTCCTTCACTTTGGGAAAAGTAGCCACTGTTTTGCTCCCGTGCCCCTTCTTAGTGGGGGAGAGTCCCCCCACATCTGATTCCTTGCTCCCCCCACCCTTTTCTAGAGATCTGCAGCTCCTGAAGTTACTGCCTGCCTCCTACCACCCTCTTGAAAGAGGAAAGCAGCAGGCTCCCCAACTTGCTCAATCTCCCCTTCTTCTTCTTCTTAAGCTCCTCTCATCAAGCCTTCTTTATCTTACTAAGCATTTTTCCCCTTTCCAGATAGGGACCAACAATGCCCTAGATCCCTGGGCCTAGTTATTGCTTCTCCTGTACCAGGCTCCTCATACATGAGAAATACCTTCTTCAACAGCATCATAGACATTATGCATCTTTACAGTCCACACCAGTGGTGCTCAAGGTTTTGATCCCACAGGTCAAATGAGTTGATGGGCCCTGGGGCCCCAGGCTGCTTCTACCCAGCCCTGCACATGTGGGATCAGGCCCCCGTGCATGCAACCTAGCACCCAGTCAGACCCGTGACAGTAACAGGGCAAGGGGGGTGGATCCAGCCTGTGGCCCATGGTTGATCACCCCTGCTCTACACCTCTTCTCTAGTCAGGTAGCAGGCAACCAGCAGGTGAGGCAGCAGATGGGGCAGGGAGAAGAAAGCAGAGAGCACAGGGTGTAAGGCAAGATGGGGCAGGGAGCAGAAAGCAGAGAGCACAGGGTGTAAGGCAGAAAGCAGATTGGTCAGGGAGTACAGCTGCGGGGGGGCGAGCAGGGAGGACAGCAGCAGACAGGGCAAGGTGCAGAAAACAGAGCAGGTGGGGCACACGGGTGAGGAGCACAAAGCAGAGCAGCAGACGGTTGAAGGTGCACATGGCGGGGTGCAGACAGCAGAGGCGCCAGGGTGCCCCATGCAGCAGGCAGCGGAAAGCAGAGCAGCAGATGATGCGGACAGCACAAGGTGTAGAGAAGACTGATCGGGCTACAGAAAACAGACAAAGCGGGGAGCACATGGCGGGGTGCAGAAAGCAGAGCAACAGAGCG